GAAGAATGTTCGGGAGCAAAAGTTATACTTTTTTCTAAAACATTTTAATTGCACTAGTCTTGAATATTTCACACCAGGATAATTTTTAGATATTACTAAATTTAGGTACAGTTTGCAAGTTGCAGTATTAATCTTAACAATAGTGAAAACAATATAACCAGCAATACATACATTCAATGTATTCATGTACAAAATATTCTTGTGAATATTACGAAGACGGATTTGTTTTCGGTTTAACAGGAATATTTAGGGATATTTCAAAAGGTTTAATTTTGATTCCTGCTTATGCATACTTATTACTAATTTAATTATTTGTAATCATATAGTTATTGTTAACTGCCTTCTAAGGATAGAATTCTAATTTTATTCCATTTGTATTGTTATAAATATCAAATAGAAGTATGATTTATAATTTACCGCATTAATCTAATATTGCAAAACATGATATAAATATGATATGATGATATAAATATTAAACATGATATAAATATTGTACTTTCTACACAAATAAATTCTTTATCCAAAACAATACAAAATTAAGTCAAATAAACATGTATATTCCGCAATAAAATAGACGTTATTTTATTACAAAATCGTTTCAGTGGCTAGACTCTTACTTCTAGGGACTTTATTCTTTCTTGGCCTGAACGGTCAGTCGGTCGGTTGGTTGATCTATTTCGCGACGCGCGTTTCGATCGTAGCTGCACGAAATTCCTCCGTAGAGTTGGGGGAGGTGCCTTGCGAAATGCAGCGTAGCCCGACGTGCCCGAAGGATATTGAAAGTCATTGCGGACAAACTAATCTCTATTCGATGGAACGTGTTCTGCCGTAATTGCTTTCGATCGGGATCACCTACGTGTGCGAATTTACGATGTCTTCATATATCCCTTTAAAACGGCTCGACCGTTTGCTCTTGAGATTCGACGGACTCACAAGGATTATCCTAATTCCGTACCTCGAACATTGTTACGGATAATGTTGCGGCAACAGGTCAGTCGTAGATGTGATAATATTTTTTATTTGTCGGCGAATTACAGAAAATGCTTCAAAAGAGTCACGAACGAGAAGAACGCATCGTGCCGATGTTACAATTAAAACCTACTCCCGCACGCTACAGTAATGGCGTTTACAAGTAAACATTTCCGGATTCAGTAAAGTGCTCTGCAGAGAAAGAAAACTATCATTTGTGTAGAATATATTTGTGTTCCGTGTTTTTATTTTTTAAATAAATGCATTTATTCGTGTTAAAAGTGTTTGCTTTACTCGTAAGTACACGTTCCATCGTTATCGTCGATATCTCGACAAGAGGGCGTGAAGGAACAAAGAGGTAGGCATTACGATTTCCCTCGCAGAGAGAGAGAGAGAGAGAGAGAGAGAGAGAGAAAGAGAGAAATTTTATTCTGGGACAACGCGTATTTCGTGCGACGAGGCACGTCACCGTCACAAAGGGAATGACTATTGGGGGTGGGCTGGGGGTGACAATCACGGGTCAGGATATAGGGGCGATATCTCTTACTTGGCATCAGCGGGTCGTGAATTCCTCTCATGAGTATGAATTCACTTTTCTCGCGTCGCCAGAACACGCGAGGTGGTGGTCGTCCGGACGCCTTGCATGACAACGTAGCGTTCTCACCCTCTAAAACGGAGACTTCGCCGTCCGATGTGCCGGTGCTCAAAATGTCGGGTGGCACTGCGAAAGAGAGGTAGCAGTAAATGAAACATCGGTCAAATAATAGCTAACGCTAAAGCACGATCGCGCTCTGCAAACTCGGCGTTATCCGCTCGGTCCGCACGATTCGCGATAAAGTTCGCGAGGAGGTTTCTCACTTCAATAGAAGGAGTCCAGATTGACATGCAAACGTCGCGTTTTAGTCTCGCCGGAAATTATGCATGATAAAATACCAGGAGCATATTCATTTTCGCTCTTTTAATTTGATACTGTAGAAAGAAAAATTGGAGAACGTGCTCTTTCTCTCTCTGTAGACACACAAATGCATTAAAGCAAATTAAGGTGACGTAGAGATAAGATAAAAATGAAATTGTAGCGAACCCAGCGAAGAGCAACAGAATCCATGATGAAGATTTATATCATGAAAAAATGTATGTACCATCTAATTCAACAATGTACATATATTTCGCCGTGATTTACAAGAATCACGAGGTATACGTTATACGAAATTTACGACTGTAAAATTCAAAACACTTCCGTCGACATAACTCTTCTCATGTCCCTCTGTAAAATGAATCTGCCGTTACTCATGCGCGTTTCGAAGTGAGCGCGAGTGGTACCCGAACGGCGATTGACTCCGTAATGTAGAAATTCTTCAAACTCCGTAATGTAGAAAGTTAATCTACCTCATACGTTTTAATTACGGGGCTGGAAAACGAGTAATAAATGTTTTTGTTCCGCACGATTCGAGGAGCGCGATGGACTAATATTTTATTTCGTAATTCATTTCATTGTTATCGTATCGGGTTCGGACATTGGGAGACGCGTATAAAACTCGATAACAAAAGAATAATAAAGCAATTTCGCAGCAGGCGCGCGTTTTCTGAACTAACGTTGCGCGGTATACGAAATGTAAAGTATACAGGACGCGTTAACGCGCGGCCTTTGTCGAATGAAACGCATACACATCACTCCTCCCTACCCTCTCATTGTAATACTCCGCCGCACTCACATCCATTTATCACAAATTCAACACGTGTCCGGGGATTATGACGCAATTTTGTCGGCCGTCACGCGCCGTTGTCTACAACAACGCTGCAATTTTCGAATTGGATCGAAATCGCGCGCCCGTATGAAACAATATATCTTCATATAAGTCTTCGCTACCACCGCCTTTCCTTCTTTTTGCGTCGACGGGGATCAAAAGTTCGCTCGCGAACCATAACGAATCCGTATTACCGTCGCTTTAACGCGATTTAACCGAATGCGCGGCGCTGCCTCTGCTGCCATTTTGCTGTTAAGCGTACCACCGAGAAATCATCACGAAATCATTCCCGTCGCATTCAACACAAAAATGAAATATCGGCTCGTTCTCACGGCAAGCGGAGGCATCTCCTCCCCGGTGAAATTTCGTCCAATGGCTCAGAGAGACGTTCTATTCGCTTCAATTACGATCGCTCAATTTCGAACAATTGTGTCGCGGGGCAACGCGAGTGGGAGGGGGGGGGGGGGGGAAA